TGCTGTTTTCTGGAGAAGCGAACAAAACTTCATTTTTTCTTGGTTGAAGATTGACGATATCGTGTCACAGCCACTAAAAGCATGGAGAAACAGAATGTTATCAGCTACTTTTTTATGTTTTATACTATTAGCTGAATATATCCTTTCAGCAATTTTGCCTTTTCCTGGTTTGCGGAGGTAGATGTTTTTGCCTCCGCCCAAATTATTACTCCATCCAAATTGTTCCGCCCTTTTTACGATGTCCCGTTATACTTGATACATCGAAAAAATATCGATATCTAACTTTTATTCCAACATTTTGATCGTAAGATTAACCGCTGTGGATATATTTTGAAAAATACAGTTTTTTGTATCTTTAATTCAAGATGGCGATGGCGGCTCGAGCGGTCGCACCCAAGAACGGTAAATTAATAGGATTGCTCATCCTCATAAGACGTACGTTCGCCTCTTCCCGCGCTTCAGCTGACAGTTGTGACGTCATTGTAGCGTCAAGTTGAACCATGTTGTGGGAGGGTTTGGACACCTGTCCAAACCGTCCCGCAAGTATAAAATTGTTATAGAAAAAATGCCTTCCAAGTACAAAAGGTTGACAGACAGGACCTTTTGTTTAGCAGACATGAAAGTCGCAACAGAAGATGTTTTGTCTGCAAAGTATTCCTATAGGAAAAGCGCAGAAGAGCATAATGTGAAAAAATCAACTCTGGCATTATATGTCAAAAAAGCAAAGGACGTTGGAATTGAAAATGTTTCATTTTCTCCACATTTCGTTACATGTCAAGTTTTATCTAATGAATTAGAAGCGTCACTTGCCTGTTATCTTAAAACTTGCTCGAACATGTACCATGGTTTAACTCCAAAGGCAACGCGCAGATTAGCATATGAGTTTGCGGAAAAAAATCACGTTAAAATTCCTGACTCTTGGAAAGCAAATAAATTAGCTGGAAAGGATTGGTTCACGGGTTTTTTAAATCGACAACCCCATTTGTCCATAAGAACTCCGGAAAACACAAGTTTAGCGAGAATTTCCAGTTTTAACAAATCTACGGTTGGGGCATTTCAAGCTAAGTTAGAGGAGGTCCTGAAGAGGCATGAATTTACTGGATCAGACATATTTAATTTGGACGAGACGGGTGTGACCACAGTTCAAAAAACGCAAAAAGTGGTTGCGACGAAAGGCCAGCATCAAGTGGGTAAGGTCATTTCACGTGAAAGAGGACAGCTGGTGACGCAAGTAGGCATCATTGGAGCGAATGGAATAGCACTTCCTCCAGTGTGGGTGTTTCCAAGGAAAAAGTTTGACAAACATCGAATGTTAAGTGGTATTCCTGACGAGTATGGCGCAACCGGCTTAGTTCATTCATCTGGATGGATGACCTCGGATAATTTTTTACGTGTTTTAGAACACTTCGTAGCTCATGTTCGATGTTCTAAAGAACGTCAAGTCATCCTCATAATGGACAATCACGAATCGCATTTATCTGTTCCTGCAATTGATTACTGCAAAGAAAATGGTATTACGATCCTAACTCTGCCACCCCACACATCTAACAAATTGCAACCTTTAGATCGGACTATTTTCAGCCCATTTAAGAGATATTTTAACCAAGGAGCAGATGACTGGATGCTCTCTCATCCAGGACAGACTTTGTCGATATATGACCTGGCAGCAATATGCATGATAGCTTGGGATCGATCTGCAACTCCCTCAAACATAAAATCTGGATTCCGTTGCACTGGAATTTGGCCATTTGATAAAAATATTTTCACCGAAGATTTCCTTTGCTCGTTTGTTACAGACAGAGTAGCACCTCCAACAGAAAATAAGGTTTTAGAAAAAAATGTAGATGCATCATTACCATCCACCTCTTCTGCACAGCCATTACCGGAGCCCCAAACTCGAGCTGAAATCGACCATCACAAACAAAATTTTGTATCGCCATCCAAAATAAGACCATATCCAAAAGCTTCAAAACGAAAAACATCTAGAAAAGGTCCTCCTAAAAGAAAATCCATAATGGCGACCGATACTCCAGAACGCGATGAAATTGCACAGAAGAAATTAAAGAAAAATAGATCAGAAATTGATCTGAAGAATATAGAGAAGGCAAAGAAAAAAGTTATGAGCGACTCTTCTTCCGATGAGGAAGAAGTCATTTACAAAGATTCGTCCTCAGACCTGGATTTGGAACAGGATGATGATGAAGATGAGGACCTTACAAAACTTGAAGTCCAGAGTTTCATAGTTTGTAAAGGATTTGGAAAAAAATCAGTTAGACATTATGCCGCTAAAATAGAAGAAGTTGTCCAGGATGGCTACAACGTAAAATTTTTGAAAAAGCAAGTTGCTTCCAGCCGTTTTAGATTTAGTGAGGAGCCTCCAGCATTTGTGTCATACGAAGAAGTGATATTGAAACTACCGAATCCTTTGACAGACCGATCTGCTCGATATGCAGATATGATTTATTTCAATATCGATCTTACCGAGTACAGTTTATGCTGATTTCATCGTTTTGTAGTTATTAGTTTTGCTCGTTTTTGCTTTAAAAATAATGTTGTTCATCAAATAAATGTATCTTAAAAATAGATGGTTTCTTGGGCATGTCGGTCACGTCTAACGATACACTAACGGGGTAACAACGTAAGTTACGTCCAGCAGTGTCAAAACGAATAGCAAAATTTTACAAAGTTCTGGGAACGGGGCTTAAGTCCTTTATATTTTGACAAGTGACAGGAAGCATGTTATGAAATGAATCGCAATGTACGGCCGAAAAATAAAGCCTGTCCAACAAGTCAGGGAAGAATTCGATAGACGACATATAAAAATGACAGGAAGTACAATTTATCTATGAATTAAAACGACAGACAACTGTCACTGTCATGTATCCTCTCAGACAGACTATACTTTGAATAAAAATGACAGACAACTTGTTTCGCTGTACAGAATATTCATAGATAGGCCTATAAAGAAAATATTGATGTCCACAGTTATCTTTTAAGACAAAATCAATATACCAGTTTTAAGTAAAAATCCATTAGATTGAGAAGCCAGTAAGAACCTTCTAGCTCAACCTAATTTATATTTTTCCATGTGTTAATTTAACAAAGTCTGATATGCAAAAAGTATATTTTGATATAATTGAACAAGAGCTATAAAAAAATGTTTTTATACGATATGTTAAATTATAGTTTTTATAATTTAGTTCACATAATAGATGAGCTATGTAGCCTAAATAATGTATAATTTATTTACATACAAATAAACTAAGAGACCGAGTTTGATAATCTAAAATCACTGGAACAGAACACTTATGTTTAATATATCTATAAAAAGGAATAATATCAATAACAGTTGTAAAATGATATTATAGTACTCAGTGAGAAAAAATAGAGTATATAATAAAAGCCTACAATTCATAAACCAGTTAGAGAATAACATTCTATATTTGCCATATTTTTGTTGAGTAATATTTAAAATTTCTCCACAGGCGACACTAATCTACCATTTATCATTTTAGATACAACTTAATTGGCAGTTTCAAGTTGGCTCACAATGCAACAAAAAAAAGTATAAATAAAGTTACATTAGGGTACGAACATAGTGGAGGCAGGTTTCTGCTTACCGGCAACCAGCGCCGTCTCAGGGTACCTATTCTTGACCACTCGCATCTTCAAATATCGCTCACATCTCGCATCTCCGAAAAATCCATATAACAATACACGTGATGCGTAACTTTGCGTATATGCATCACGTGTATTGTTATATGGCTTTTTCGGAGATGCGAGCAGGGTTCGGAAGTAGTTAATTAAGAGGAAATTTACCTGATTAACTAACATAATCTAACCTAACCATATTCAAACGCTTCGCCTGCCGCACCGGCGCCGCACATAGGGGTATTTGGTCTATAAACCTGGCCAAAAGTGATATTTTTTTATTTTCATTTTTTATCTTAACTGAATATAAATCTATAAATACTAAATGTAAGCACGTTTATTAGCTTTTTTTAAGTCGTAAGTTGACTATCAAATAAATAATATATTTCAGTTATAAGTATGAATTATCTTGAGTGTATTCTGAATATTTCTAAGATTATAAAATAGTGGAATTGTTTGTAGTGCTTTTTTTGTGCAAATTGTTTATAATAACTGTCATGATGGATACAGAGCCAGCTGGCAAGTCCTGTTTTATGCCATATTTTTATTTTGAAACGTTTCCTTCTATTCTATTTCTTTATAATGTTTTATATTTAAAAAATCAGAGGCATTTTTATACGGTGTAATAAGACTATTCGGCAATATTCCGCATGGCAATTAGCATCCGTTCAATGCTTAAAGTCTCCAGCTTTCGAATATGTACAAAAATCTTGCCAATATTTGCCACTGCCAAAAAAACATTGATTTAAATAGATTCTTAAAGGAAATAGTCTTTACCCTATAACACCCATCCTCGCTCAAATATCGTCTATAATATACAAATTAGTTTCTTGTTCTAGCATCCTCATCCAATTGCATGGTTTTGCACAGAATGGCCCTATTTGATTGGTGGAAAGGGTTTCAGAGTAGAGGAAAAAATATTGTGTAGGAAAAACAAAATGGGGTCCAATAATAATTAATATTACTAGCAAAAAAATCATAAAACATAATTTTGGCCAACTTTTAGTTCTTAATACCCTCTGTGCGCCGTCGGCGCGTGCAAAAGCAGAAATAAATAAATTTTCGTTCCGGTAAAAGCGAGAACGCCGATGAACGCTGGTTGACGGCGCCTACCTGCTTTCACTGTGAACTAGCCGATTTGAGAACACGCTTTAATTTTTCAAGGTTATAAGCGCGAGGCGGCGCGGCGCTACTATGTACCCATATACAGGGTGTCCCAGAAATAAGTGCAAATATTTTAACTTAACTGGTAGCATAGTTCAACCCCAGAAACACGCCTATGAGGTTTTTTTCGCGAAATTTTTTTTTGAAAATTCGGAATTTTTTGAAAATTTTTTTGGATTTTTTTTAGTTTTCATTTAAAAAAATATAATTTCTTGATAATATGGCAACATAGGTAGTAGATTAAATTTACAAGAAAGAAAATCCAGAAAAGATCCAGTGGTTCTCAAAATTTTAGCAAAAAATCATCTTTTTTTTGGAAATTTTCAAAGTAAAATAACTCTGTTATTTTGGACTTATTTGAAAAACGATAAAGAGAAAATATGTTTCTTTTATCGACCACCCCTTAAAATACTTGCACTTATTTCTGGGATACCCTGTTTATAACAATACACGTGATGCGTATACGCAAAGTTCCGAACGATGTCAAGAATAGGTACCCAGACTGGCGCCGACTACCGGTAAGCGGCAAACCTGCTTGCACTGTGTTCGCACACTTAACCTACGGTCTGGAAAATTAAAGCTTTGCGAGAAAAAAACAAGAGACAAAAGTCCTTAATTTCATAGCTCTACGCAGGCATTAAAAAAATTTGATCGTCTAATTATATCACAAAAATAACTTATAGAAAGAAGGGCTGATATATTTAATTAAACTAAAACTAATTAGTTTTAAAAGTATCACCAAAAAACCTACTTCGATTTTATCGATAGTGTAAAAGAACTCAGTCAAACATTCTCTCTCTGTTAGATATCCTGCACGCCATTCCATAAGCTGCTGTAACCGCTGTCCGATTTTGTATCCATATCGATGCTGGCTTGTCTCATCAATGCAGATATCCTACAGTTTTGTAAAAACAGAGCAATGGCATGATAATATCCGGGCAGCTGCCATGTTTCGTTATGCGTGCCTGCTGGTAACTGAAAGAGCTGCTTTCTTATGCTGTTACATCTAGATAAACAACGAAAACGTTTTAGATAAATATGCGCTTCTGAGCTTTGAAAACAAATATTGTATTATATTAGTGTCAGTCGATTTGTATATAGAGCAATAAAGGATTATTATACAGGGTGGCGCCTCTCATACGTCGCGGAGGCTCCAAGGAGAACGACAGTTTGTATTGAAATGAAATTTTGTGAGCATATGTAGGTTAATTCAGAGCACTTTCTAAAAATATAGAGACTTCTACAGGGTGTCCCCAAAAAAGTTACATATCAAAGTTGTGTTTTTTGTAATGGAACACCCTATATATTAATGGTTTTTTGGATTCTAAGAGAAAAAAATTTATAAGAGAAGTATATGACTAAAATGTAAGGTTTTTGACATATTTAACATTTTCTAGAAATAAAGAACAATTTTTAAATTACGATAAAAGCTACCTAAATTGGAATTTACCCCGTATAGTCTAATATGTCGTTAAAGTAACTCTTGTACTTTAAATCAAATTAAAACTTGATCCAATATGTTATACAGGGTGTGACAAAATTAATATTGAACATCGGTCGCCTTTAATTGCGTGATTCTATTAGTTGGTGAATGCAGTGTGCATTCACCAATTAATAGAATACTTAAATGCTTTTGATTTTATTTAGTCTGGGTGTTTTTATGGGGATATGTTAAAAACAATGTTTATAAAACTCGACAACTATTGTCGACAATATGAAAGAAATTATTGTAGCTGCTTTTCGAGGTAGAACCCCCCACATATGCCCTTTAAAATCAAAAGATCCTTTTGAAAAGACAATCATTTTATGCAGTTAACAGGAAAGGAAGCATTTTGTGCATTTGATTTCACCTAGGTAATTTTTGTCGCATAATTATAGGTTTATGTCTAGTTTTAATTCTGTAATAATTAAAATATGTTTTAAACCGATATCTTTTTATTACCCTTGAGTATTTTACTCTACAGTCTTTAATTTTTGTTAAATTAACGAAAGATATATCACGCAGCCACCTAGATATTTTCAAATAATAAAGATTTACTGACGCAAAATCATGAAAATTAAAATATCTGGCAAAATCTTTGTCTGAGGGGTAGGCAACCTTAATAATATTTTGAAGATATATAAATTCCCCATTGAACACCGGAAAAATATACTGGGTGTTCCATTTAAAATAAAGGAGTAACTTGCTTTTAAAAATGACTAATGTTCCATATTAGTTTTGTCACACCCTGTATAACTTTTCGGGTCAAATTTCAATTTAGTTTAACATACAATGGTTACTGTAATTAAATCTCAGGTTATATAAAGCCAACTAAAATTTAGGTAGCTATTATCGAAATTTAAAATTTACTCTTCATTTTCACAAAATGTGAAATATATCAGAAACCTTAGATTTAAGGTATATGCTTCTTTAATAAAACTCATCTTTATTTTTTCCCTAGAATCCGAAAATCAATTAATACATAGGCTGTTCCATTAGAAAAAAACATAACTTTGGATGTGTAACTCTTTTTTGGGTCACCCTGTATAATTCTATATTTTTTTGTAAAATGCTTTCAATTAACCTACATATGCTGCCAAAATTTCATTTCGATATAAACTACCGTTCTCCTTGGAACTTCCGCGGCGTATGAGAGGCGCCACCCTGTATATAAAATTGCAGAAGCAACATGTCCTCCAATCAATAAAGATAAAAGATTTTTTTACTAATAAGCTTAAAAACGTCTGATGAAACATCAACATTATATGCAGTTTATTCCCATGAAAAAGATATTTTGAAACTAATTAGATATGTGTAGAATTTCTAAAAAATAAATGACCTTTTAATCTTCATGTTTTTAACAAAATATTCCATATCGTCGCCTAAACGTGAATTGTTGAATTTATTTTTTTGTGAATTATGATTTGAAGTTTATAAGATATTTTTAATAATTGCACCATAATAACAGTCTTCAATATTGGTATTTTTTACTGTCTTTGATATACAGAAAGGTTTATTATATCAAATTTGATTTTGTTGTATGTACCACTAATTTGACTCATATCTTTTAGATTAATCCCAACGGATGAAAATTTATTGTTTTTAATTTGGCTGGAACAAAATAACGTGTTCTAGTATTTTTTTATGAAAGACTTGGAGCCAAAATACACGAGGCGGTTTATAGGCGTCGCTATTTTGGTTGTATACAAGTATCATAATATAATATTATCCAACGTTAATGAAAATATAATAAAAATAAATCAAAATGTATAGTTTTATATTAACCAATTAATTAATATAAATATTAATGAATTATTGGAAAATATCAAACTAAGAAAGTCTATCTACTATCAAACTACTTAATTATTATTATAGACTAGTTGAAGCCTGGCGCATCCGCAACATCAGGAAAAAAAACTTTTTTTTTAATTAAATGAAAAACAAAAAATGCGGCGACGACAGTATTTAGAAGAGCCAATTAGCTATATTTTAGTAAAAAAGCAACTTTCTAGAGCAAGTCGTTACTTCAGTAGAGACGACACAGATAAACATTAGCATTTTATATAAATGTAGATTATAGAAAAATACTAAATATAACATTTTGTCACCCTAATCCTCTAATATTGATAACTAAATATTTATATTTATTACATATTGTCGTGAAAGATTATAGGTATTACATCTAGGTATTTTCAAATTTTATATAGCTTTATATTTTTGCAAATTAGAATAACAATTTCGGGAACAATATCTGCAGTACTAAGGCAGAAGCATGGGCAGAAGCCGATATGTCAATAGGGAAATTATGTTGACATATTACGTTTTGCCTTAGTACCACAGATATCTACACTAATATCTAATATATAAAATCCTTAAGTGACTGACATACTGATTAATCACCATCCTGCTCAAACCACTCAAGGTAAGAAGCTCAATTTTGGCATACAAGTAGATTCTAGGGTGTAGAGGTTTGATAAGAAGGGATTTTTCGAAATTCCAGTTCCAAGAGGGTGAAACCACCCCTCAAATATTACAATATTTTTTATTTAAAAAACGGTCAAGTTTCCGAAAAAACGCTTAAACACGTATATTTTATTTAGTTTTTTTACATATTTTAAGATTTTTAAAAATGTATACAGGGTGTTTCGAAAAATCTGGTCATTGATTAATCACGATCCTGCTTAAAGCGCTTGACGTAAAAAGCTGATTTTTGGAAAACAGATTGACTTTAGGGTGTAGAGGTTCAATAAGAAGGGATTTTTCGTAACTCGAATTCTAAGGGGGTGAAACTATGCCTCGAACATTAAAATATTTTTTATTTAAAAACCGGTGAGTTTTTCGGAAAAACTTTTAAACGCGTATATTTTATTTTGTTGTTTTACATATTTTAAGATTTTTATAAATTTATACAGGGTGTTTCATAAAATATGACCATTGAGTAATCACGATTCTGCTTAAACTGCTTGACGTTTAAAGCTAATTTTTGCCAAACGGATTGACTGTGGGGTGTAGAGGTTCGATAAGGAGCGGTTTCTCGAATCTCAAATTCCAAGAGGGTGAAAACGCCCCTCAAATTTGTTATTTAAAAAACGGTTAGTCTTTCGGGAAAACGCTTGGACAAGCATAATTTATTTGGTTTTTTTACATATTTTGAAATTTTTTAAAAAATCATACAGGGTGTTCCAAAAAGTTGAGTAATTTCTTAACCACGATTCTGCTTAAACTGCTTGACGTAAAAAGCTTATTTTTGGCAAACGGATTTTTCGAAAGTCAAACTCCAACGAGATGATACTACCCCTCAAATATTACCAAGTTATATAATAATATCGCCATATTGTTTTTTCTCATGCTGACATAAATGTGAGAAAATTTTATCCAGTTTGTATGTTAATGGAAATTCTTGCTTTGCTTTATCATCACCATTACAAATGATTAATTCGACGCGAACGAAGTCGCTGGTACACGCTAGTAATTATATAATATTATTATTACCTTTCATATAATTCTTGCATCATTTTTGGTGGGACTAAACTATCTGATAGGCCGGAGATGAATAATGTGGGAATTCTTATTTGTTTTACTTTTTGATAAGATAAATACTAAAATAAATATATTGCAGAGAATGAAATTAAGCTTAGTAATAATTTCTTTTTCTTACTTTATTTTTGTAAAAAAATATTGGAAAATATTGTAATATTTTCCATCCTAACAAAACTCTTGCCATATCAGGTATACTGGTAAATGTATTTTCAACTACTAAACACCAAATCCTATTACTGTAGTTTTCTCTAATTGCTAAATCTATTGCCACAGCACCTCCTACAATAATATTATTGAATAAGAATATAATGAATACTGATATGTATTAAGATGAGTATGTATGATGTACCTAAGGATCTTCCAAAAACTACAATTTCAGAATGATTTACATCATTCCTTGAAAATAAATAGTCAAGACTTGCTTTTGCATCTATATAAAGGCCCTCTTCAGATGGATGACCTTCTGACAAACCATAGCCTCTGTACTCAATTAACAAAATATTACAATGTAAATTATGATACAGTCCTGCACAGTTTTGCAACCTAAAAAATATTTAATTTTGAACATATTTATTTCATTTTGATTGATAATGCATATGTTTTAATAAAAATACAATAACACCAACATATAGTTGAATGATTCAAATAACTGCATATTAATACCTATTTTTAGTTATGCCTTCGGTTTGTATTACAATTTTAGCAGTACAGTGCGTAGAGATACACATATAAAAGCTAAAAACATACCTGTGACCCATGTTACCAGCATTTCCATGGAAAAAGACTAATGTCGGTGCTAATCTTTGTCTTTCTTTAGGCTGATGAATAAAGTACATATGTATTGTAGTACCATCTGGGCATTTATGATTAATACTTTCAAATGGAAGGCCAAACATGGATGGTATTGGGATATAGACCCTAGAGTGACTTGGCAATTCCGGAGAGTAAAGAAGATTATCTTGAACTTGGTATAAAATACCTAAAAACAAGTTACTTTATGACTGTATAGATCAAGTGTTGGATAAAAACTTACCTGTAACAGCGAAAATTAATAATGATATTGCAAATATTCCACCATACATGTAATAGAGTAAAAAACAAACTACTAGAACTAATCCAGAATATGCCCAAACTTTTAAAACCATTCGTAACAATACAGCACCCAATTGAGAAAGGGGTACATAACCTCCCATCATTGGTTTATTAACTTTCTTTTGAAATAGTACGGAGATAAAATTTATATCAATGAAATAAGTATAATTAGCACTGTATCAAGACATTTTTAAATAATTACGTACATTTTTGACTGTAAACTGCTTACACAAGTCACACATATAAATAATAAACCATAGATAAGAGAAGAAAGAATATTTTTCAAATTATCTACGTCATATGTCGTATCCACAGAAGATATAATTCTTTTTAATATATGAATCATATATAATATAAAATCGCAAGTCCTGGAAGCTGTGACCAACAAATTGAAAAGAAGAAGTTAAAGAGAAGAAGAACTTAAATTCAAACCTCACTAATTGTTAAGATTTTATTGTCAGAAGTCAGAAGTGAAGTCGAAGTGTATAATTTATAAAATATAAAAATGACTATTTCCGAAGGGGCAGAACAAGATAGTGAATATACTGACGAATTAACATCCAAAGAAGGCGAATTAGAAGAATTAAAAATATATATAAAAGAAGCTGAAGAACGACTAAAATGTAAACAAGAATTAAGAAGCATCAATCAAGATGCAGCTCAGAATCGTCCAGGAGATTCCCATTTTAGTAAACTTGATTCTAGTTTAAAGAAGAACACTGCGTTTGTTAAAAAGATTAAGAATTTTTCAGCGACACAAGTAGATACATATTTAAAGGATATGACTGGTTTAAATTTATCAAAATATATTTCTGAAATAGCCAGTGCGATAGTTGAATCTAAATTAAAAATGACTGATGTTCCTAGTGCTCTTAAATTATGTAGCATATTACATCAAACATATTCAGAGTTTTCACAGCATTTGTTTGAGAACTGGCAAAAAAATTTAGGGATAAAGATGGGTGAGAAAATACAAAATCCAAGCAAGTTGAGAGTTGATTTACGTTTTTATGCTGAACTGCTTCAATCGGGGGTGTTTAGCAATAAGAATGCTTTTACACTTTTGGGTTCTGTACTTACAACCTTAATAAATATGGACAAGGAAGAACATATTAATGTATCCATCATATTAAGCTTTTGTAAACATTGTGGAGATGACTATGCAGGGTTGTTACCAAGAAAAATGAGGGAATTATCTGCAAAATATAACATAACAGTTCCTAAAAGTAACTTCTTAGCATCAGAAAAACAACAAAATGTAAGAGGTTTATTGAAAGATTATTTTTTGTCATTGAGCAAACATCTTGTGAAAGATCACCAAGAATTACAAAATTTTGGAAAGCAAAATTTGAAGATATTACAAACAAAAGGTGAACTAAGTCAAGAGAGAAAGGAAAAATATGAATCCCTTCAATCGTCATATGATAAACTGCTAGCCAATACACAAAGCTTTGCTGAAATCTTAGATGAAGATATGCCAATTTTAAAAGTTGAGACTATGCCTAAAACTGAAGAGGTAAGTACATTATTAATTTACATAAAATTACAAACACTGTGATAGATGAAGAATTACAACTAAAAGGATACAAAATAAAAGTGTACTTTTAATAATAAACAGTTAAACTCTATTCTAGAGTATGTAACTCTGGTATTATACAGTATTCAGTTGTTCTAATTGACTTGGAAATAAAGACATTTTATTATTATTATTACTATAAAAAATATAGTATACTCTATTTTTGCTTCTGATAATTGATGTAACCTTATTACAGTTATTTAACATTGATTACTGGGTCTAACATAGTAAATTTGTTTAGAATATGATAGTTACTGGTTCTGGAGCTGATTTTGATGAAAATTCAGTTAATATAGAAAACATTTGGTTGGATGCTGAAACAAGAAAATTTTATTGTGAACTTCCTGAATTGACAGCATATCTTCCTACTTCATATCTCAAAAATCAACAACCTGCACCTACAGAAACTGCGACAGAAGAAATTTTAGATTCTGAACTTCCACCTGAAGATACAGAAGAAGACAGTAATGATTTTCAAATGCCAAAATTACAATTAATTTACTAATCACTTTTACGTTTTATTATTTAAGGTAAATCAGAAGAAGTTCCTGTCCAAGAAGAAGAGGTAGAGGATAGTAGTTCATCTAACGCAAGCAATAAAATGCTTCTGGAAACATATTTAAATAATTTGCCAAATTGTGTAAACAGAGAAATGATTGATAACGCAGCTATAGATTTTCTCTTGACTCTAAACAACAAACATAACAGAAAAAAATTAGTCCGAGCAATATTTGGTGTCAATAGAACAAGGTATAAATTTATTAATATTAGCTATTCATATTTTATTTGTATTTAATTTTTAGACTGGATTTATTGCCATTTTATGCCCGTTTTGTATCAATACTTTATCCAGCTGTTCCTGAGGTTGGAAATGAATTATGCCAAATGTTATGTCAAGATTTTAAATACCACGTGAAGAAAAAGGATCAAATAAATATTGAATCAAAGATTAAAGTGGTCAGGTTTATTGGCGAATTAGTTAAATTTAAGTTATATTCAAAACAAGAAGCCCTGTATTGTTTAAAAGTATTACTAAATGACTTTTCACATCATCATATTGAAATGGCATGTAATTTACTAGAAGTTTGTGGGAGATATTTGTATTGCAGTGCAGAGTCGCACGAACGAACAAAGGTATATTTAGAACAAATGATGCGTATGAAGACTGTTAAGACCCTGGACTCGAGATATGTTACTCAGATAGGTACATAAAAGATATATAGTAGTATATTTGTAAAGTAACACTTGCATTTATAGAAAACGCTTACTACTATGTAAATCCCCCAGAAATTGTCAGTGTAGTAAAAAAAGAAAGACCCATAATTAATCAATTTATAAGGAAGCTTCTATATCAAGACTTACAGAAAAATAACACTGACAAAATTATGAGATTGATGCGAAAAATTAATTGGACAAATGAAGAGATATCAAATTACGCTATTAAATGTCTAACAGGGGCTCACAATATGAAATATTTTAATATAAGGTATATATAATGTAGAATATAATAATTGTAGATTATTTTACTTATTTAAATCTAATTTAATGTAGGTGTTTGGCAAATTTGTTAGCAGGTTTAGTGGGATATCAAGAAGAAATTGGGACGAAAGTTGTAGATGGAGTTTTAGAAGATATTCGATTAGGTATGGAAGTAAATCTTCCAAAATTCAATCAGAGAAGAGTTGCACAGATAAAATATTTAGGAGAACTTTACAATTATAGAATGGTAGAAAGTTCAGATGTGTTTAAGGTTTGTTATATTTAAAGAAGTATTGGGTGGTTCAATATTAAATTGATAAATTTTAACTAGGCATAAGAGCATTATCTTGAAGAGAGATTGCTAGCAAAAAAAACTGAAGATGTAAAATTTTTCGCAATTATACCACACACCACAAAATTACCTAACCATATAGACCTGTATAAAGCTGTAATGTAAAAAGCTATTTTTTGTATATAAAATAAATTTTAAAGATTTTGCGTAAGTTTCTTTAATTAATCTAACATTTTGGTAATTCTCAAATTTATTTAATATTGGATTACACTAAATCAAATAGGCTACATTATTATGTTCAGTTTTATATGACACTTTTTTTAATAATATTTTTCTAAATAATTAACCTAGAAATTCCTTTTAGGTGCTGTACTCGTTGATTTCTTTTGGAGTGTCAATGGATCCATCTGAACCATCACCATTAGATCCTCCAAATCATTTATTTAGAATAAGATTGGCGTGCGTATTATTAGAAACTTGTGGTAAGTATTATTCAATTTTGATAATGAAAAAATCTTAACGTTAAATCTGAATTTGTTTTAATTATAAAACATATAACTTAAAATAACTTTTTTAAAATGTAAAATATCTCCAAAAATGTTTCCAAACGCTTTCTTAACCAATTTTATTTTCTTTATGGAAAATTCGGGAATGTCTCTTTTTAACATATTTGAGTTTCCATTAGGGTATCTCCATCATTGTCTTACAAGATACTATCCAGACCATCAATTTAGGAGACTAGATCTGTACAGATATGGTATAAATAAAATATGAATTTTAAAATATACTAGTTGAAGCCTGGCGCATCCGCTACGATATCAGGAAAAAAAACTTTTTTTTTTTTAAATTAAATGAAAAACAAAAAATCCGCCGACGACAGTTTTTAGAAGAGCCAATTAACTATCTTTTAGTAAAAAAATCAACTTTCTAGACAAGTCGTTACTTCAGTAGAGACGACACAGATAAACATTAGCATTTTATATACAGTGTGTCAATTTTAAAACTTCCCACCCTTAATAACTTTCTTGCAGTTAAAAATATGAAAAATCGGAAAGACACGTCAATTTTATTTGTAAGGGGGACACTTTAAATTAATATTTTTAGCCTTTTTCTTTTAACCCTCTAGGAGGAGTAGATGTCACCCTTACAATTTTAAATGGGAATGGGGGTCAAGTGGCACATCGTTTTTAAGGACGTTTAATTCTCTTTTCAGTGGTATCCTACTTTGTTGCTTTTTTTCCAGAGGTTTCCGAATAATCGCGTTTGAAACTTGCAGAAACAATTAAACATGCCTGCATTGAGATTATGGTTTTCAGGTTAGTGTTTATAAAAAATATTGCAATGGATCTCCTTGTAGTACAAATAATTAGAAGATTAGGTGGAAACATGGACGTAGCAATAATATTTTTCTAGGGAGATCGAAATACTAATAAACAGAAAACATCATAAACATTAACGTTTATTTTCTTAAATTCGAATGAGTGGCAACCTCTAATCAGTTATACAGGACACCATTTTTTTGTTAACATTCCAGCTGGACGGTGGCTCCACCTTATTATTTTCTTCCGATCCGACAGTGGTTAAACGAGAGATTTCCGGGTACATGGATTGGCAGAAGGGGACCAATTGAATGGCTTCCGAGATCACCGGATTTAACACCCTTAGATTTCTTTCTTTGGGGACATCTTAAATCCATTGTTTATAGAACACAACCTACTGATATTGATGATCTTAAAAGGCGAATTACAGCAGAATGCCGGTCAATTCCCGGTGAAGTTTTCCGAAATGTTAGGGAGGAGTTTGAAAACACACTTTATTATTGTTAACAGGAAAATGGACAACATTGATTAGTCGGAAACCACTCGACAAAAAGCAACAAAGTAGGATACCACTGAAAAGATAATTAAACGCCCTTTAAGACAATGTGCCACTTCACCCCCATTCCCATTTAAGATTGTAAGGGTGACATGTTAAAAGAAAAAGGCTAACAATATTAATTTAAAGTGTCCCCTTTACAAATAAAATTGACGTGTCTTTCCAATTTTTCATATTTTTAACTGCAAGAAAGAAATTAAGGGTGGGAAGTTTTAAATTGACACACTGTATGTAGATTATCATATTATTATATTTTTGTTGAATTTTTATTATTGTTATATTTGTGTACTTATTACTATATTTATGATCTAGGATATTATATCTAGGGTTTCCAATTTTCGGGATCGGGATCCTGTTTTGAAATCCCGGGATTCGAACCTATAATCCCGGGATCACGACATTGACTATATCAGAATGAGAAATTTAATATAAAGAAATGCTTAAAAAAATGCAGATACATACATATATCAAAAACAAAATGAGAAAAGAGTTTTATTAAAATAGACAAATCAAAGTAACATTCATATTTAGTGATTAAAAAAATCAATTCTGGTTGAAAAAAAAATAAAATATAGCAAACACAAGAATTTTTTGATATTGACGTTCTGCTTAGTAAAAATAAAATATAACGTTTTAAAAGACTAAAGTGTATAAAGTCGAATCGTTTTAGATTGGGCATTTAAATTTTTCGAGATTTTCAGGATCCAGGGATTTAATATCGGGATTTCGGGATTTAATATACACCGTGATCCCGGTTTGGAAACCCTAATTATACCTTGTAGTTGTATTTTTTTGTGACGTTGCTTTGTGATCGGGAAGATCATTTTGTCGGCAATAAAGTATTTGTATCGTATGATCGAAAAAAAAAACGGCGTCAGCGATGGCTATGAAAAGAAGATCGCTGTGATTTTATTGTAAAAAATTTTTATTGTAAAATTATATGGGAAATGTCATTGATCGTCATTTCCCAGCCAACTGGACGCCGTTTTTTTTTCTCGATCATACGGTATTTGTATTTAAAATAGCATGTCTAAAAAATAGCATTAGTATAACATCACAGATTATACAGATTATAATCTTTGTTTTTTCTTTATTGTTTTTCGTGGTTCCAATTTTCGGAATCGGGCACTAGTTAGGTTACTAGTTTGCGCACATAGCACGCCCACTTATGGCCTCTAAAATTGTGCACAGCGCCTGACCGGCACAGTTATTAGAGAGATATCGGAAAACCGAATAGCGTCATGCAGTATTTACGCGTACCTTATCATGGTTACGATATGCGCGAGTCAATTTTTAACGCAACACCCGCTAATAACGTTACCGCCTGACGCTTTGAATAAGAAGACTAAGGAAGGAGCATAATGCTATCCATGTATTCATGCATGGTGGGCGGAAAAAGGACTCTAGGGTAGGGATCCTTGACAGTTCTGTTTGACGATTCATTTGACACATTTGAATTTGATTTGAAATTTTGTGGATTTGTCAGTCTTTATGGAGCTTATTTTATGTTATTTATTATTTATTCTACTACTTATAGTTGTATAAAGGTAGCAAATCTAGATGGAAATTGTGGCAGAACTTAAATTAACAATGACACTATCGCGATTTATCGAAAAAGACTCTAAAATAGTTGGTTGTGTAGCGTGCGGTAGATCTCGGCAAAAATCGAGTGAAATAATAGAACAACTTTTCGCTAGTAAGTGACTATATAATATATACGTGTAGTAAACCGATCATTTATGAAATTCACTTAAATTAACTATAGTTATATATTTTTTCTTGCATTTTTGCTTTTATTTACTATATGTCAAAGATTAGATGTCAAAGAATTTAGATACGTCAATTTGACTTACCTGCTTCAGTAGCGTATCGGATCTTTGTGTTAATAAATAATTATTAAAACTTATCTATTTTTATTATGATAATATGTTTTTATAACAATTTTAATAACTACCAACATTTATTCACAACGTAAAATAAAACAACAAATCATTGAGTCTACCTCACGTCTACCCTACATCATAGTTTTACACTTTTTAAATAAAATTAGAACGGCACTGATAAACCGGAAGTCGGCCATATTTGAGTCCCATCGCGGTGGACCTAGGATTTTTGATATGCTCCTTCCTTAGTGCCTGACGTAATTTACGGATCAATTACACCAAGCGCTATTTCTAATTTCTAAATAACGTTTAAAAATTGCTTAAATGGGCATGTGCGGGTTTTTGACAACCGGGGCCGGCCGGCGCGCGGCGAGATCTTTTATTTTAGGTTATGTTTGAATTGTTTTGAATTATTACTTTAGTTTTATTAGGTAATTTGATATTTAAGTAGCTGGGATAAGTTTTAATTAAATAAATATGGCCCAAAATATGGATTCAATCTCTTCCAATATTAAAGAATCTATAAAGAGGCTTAGGTTTACAGCAGATGACGACTTAGCCCTTCTAAGAGAATTTGTTGCTTGTTGCCCTAAACCCACTGGCAGACGTTGAACAATAAAGCACTGGAAATAAGCACTTTACCCCTTTAGTTTTTCCAATACCTAGTAAACAAAACAATTTCAAAGTTTTAAATTCAAAGTTAGGTTAAGTTTAAATAGCGGACGCGAAGCGAACAGAATCCTTTCCGATCCGATAACTATAAATGAAGAGAGTTAATACCACCGCACGTAAAGGAAATAACACCTGGCCTTATTAACGTCCATGCACGCTATTCGGTTTAGCGATATCTCTCTATTACGCTGTTTATTGTTATTTTACGCGAGTTTGTTTTTGCGCACAGGAAATTTTACTCGTTTGCACATCGTCATAAAAAACAATTTTCGTACCACGAATTAGGGACAAGATTTTTATCTGTATACTTATAGGATACCTAATCTGTGATAACATAAACCTTAAAGGCGAATATGAATATTTTAGGTACATATTTTAGCAGTGGCAGTAGCAAAAGAAAACTGGACTATTATTTAGTATTTCTACAAATGTACTACTGGTATAAGAAACAATTATGGAAAGAAAGTTTCCCTCCTACTTTGGAACACATATTTAAAGAAACTTTATCTAATCTAAGGCCAAAATTGAAACTCTGCAAAAGCTACGAAGAAACACAAACAGAAGTTAATAATATCCGGTCCACTTTAGGCATTGGTAGTTTTTTTCTGGACAATAGCACACTTTATTTTATATAAACTACTTCTGCATTTCAGAGAAGTTAATTACTGATCATATGCCGAAGGAGTCTGATGATGGTCTAGATACCATAACAGAAACAGATAATGAAGATATTGGAGAAGATGAAATGTCTGAAGGAGCTACTGGACCTATAACTGACGATACAGGCACTGAAGATGAAACTGTAGATCACACTCAGGGTTCTGATGAAGAAGGTAAATAGTTGTGAATAAAATATTTATTATACAGGGCCAAAATTAATTATTTTTGAAGAATTAAAAAAAATAATGCAGATGTTTTTCAGCATGTTTAAAAAAATAATTGATATCTTATTTAAAAAGTGAGGTTAGGTGGTAAAATATCGAAAATGTTGTTAAAATTTAATTATACGTCTCTGTATCAAGATTCGTAAATATTCTCTTTATATTTATGAAACTTTATATTTTCTTTGTTACAAAAAGTTTTAGTTTTGCATTAATTTTCGAAATATAAATTAAAATGAATATAAATATGAATGAAAAGAAATACCGGGTTCGTCTCAAAAGTGGCTCACCCCTATAACTTTTATATTTTTTCATATAGAAAAACGAGATTTGGTATGTTAGTATATGACATGAATTAGGATTAATTGACGTATTCAATTCTTTTCGGCCACTTCCTGTTTCACCGGAAATGACTAGAACTTTTGATTTTTAAATGGCACCCTCGGTATTTTTTTACATTTATTAAATGGCACCCTCGGTATCTTATATTGTCACTTTATTCAATAGAAAATAACACTCTCAATAGAATGACATATCATATGTCAACTTTTGACATTTTCGCTTAAAACAGAATTGTATTTTAAATTTCAATCTAGAGTGCCGTGGCTGTGTTAAAAACACTAATTTATAATCAAGGAGCCTTGGAAAAATAGATTTGATTGTCTAATGGTTTTAGTGTCCTGTCCTGGCCATTAAAAGATGCCCAAATCGTATTTTTAATCATATCTTAATTTTTTCAATTGGAACAAGGGTGGCTCATTACTATATTCGGAAAAATCATTTTTTTGCGAATAATTTGATATCACACACTTGGTATTTCGAGTCAAATTATTGTTATGAATCGCATGTTACAGTTTCAAATAAACCTTATGCGAAATTGTCAAAAGTTGACATATGATTATTCAGAGTGTCATTTTCTATCGAATAAAGTAAAAAAATACCGATCACGTCATTTAAAAATCAAAAGTTGTAGTCATTTCTGGTAAAACAGGAAGTGACCAAAAACAATTGAATATGTAAATACTACAAACCATACCAAATCTCGTTTTGTTATCTGAAAAAATAAAAAGTTATAGGGGTGAGTCACTTTTGAGACGCACCCGGTATAGTCAAAACTATAGTCAAAACAGAATCTAATAAAAATAATTTCTCATGAAGTATTTTATTTTACTGTTCTGCCAGTAAATTGTACAAAAAATAAAAAATATATATTTTCAAAGTATGTACATATGTACCTACGATTTTGTTCCAAAGGCGAAATTTTTTAACTTTTTTTGAATTTTAAATTTAAATGAATAATATAAAATAATAATAGTTTAAAAGATTTCAAGTCGAACTTTATAGACTTTCTAAATAATTTGATATTCCAGGTTGATTTTTTTCTTTTCTATAGCCTTGCAATATGTTTAGTACTTTAAATTTTTTTTTTTTTTAATAATTCACGGAACAGTAAAGAAAAATATTGTATTAGGAACTATATTCTTGTTGCTTTGTAATTTTAACAAGAATATACGAAATTTTTCTTTTCTGTAACCATTGCAATAAGTTTAGTAACTTAAAAATTGATCATTTTTGATCTTTTATAATCATTTACGGAACAGTAAAGAAAAATGTTTTATTGGGATTCTTGTTCAATTTACTTTGCTTTGTAATTTTAACAAGAGAATATAAAAAAGTATATTTTTGAAAGTTCCTGTATTAATAGTATAGTTATAGTCTGTCCAAAACGACAAGATCCTTGACAGCGATAGATGTGTCTGTCATTTTATTTTCAAATTAGTTTATTTTATTTTACAAAGAATTAAGTTGGTACAATTGGAACGCATAGCAGACATTTTTTAAAATTTGAGTGACAAGTGATTACTTCAAAATATTTTGAAAAAAACTGTATAAAATTGAGAAAATCTAATCGAGTTATTTTATTAAAAACAATTACAGTATGTGTTAATACAAAACAAGCAAGGGTTTATTAAAAAAAAACACCACATACCAAAAAAGATATAAAAAAGATTTCCGGCTTTCAAGCTCAAGCAAGTTCCTGCATTTATTATTGTTACATTTATCAATATAATTATTCAATATGATTATTATTTACCTATCGTGTGCTGCTATTTTACAGACACTCCAGTTTTTGGTATCATATACAATAAGACAGTATACAAACTTATTTGTGGCTAATACATATCTGGCCATAATACTCTCTGGCCATAATCTCTGGCGAACTGTCTCTGGCCTCTGGCGGTCTCTGGGCACCGAATATTAACTGTAAACTATGGTCTGGGTCAACACTTAATTTTCCCGCAAGTTTTCCTCCACTTCATTTTAAAAAACACGAAACACACGTAATAACACAGTCCAAAATGCAAAATATTTATTATTTCTAATTTGACACAAAATTATAACCTATAAATTGACAAGAGTTTGACAACTCTCAAAAATCTTAAGACGAGTTCACACGCATCGGTGTTCGTTTGTCGTTCATCTTTCCGTCAAACCAATAATATTGAAATATGATCTGTCATTTTTTAAATAAACCAATAAAACTTGTTAAAAACAACAAGAGATGACGCATGACGGATTTATTTATAAACCCATCCATAGTTAACTTAAAAAATATTAGAAACTTTTTTTAGTTAAATAAATAGATTGGTATGGACGTCATCTGCTTTTTTTCTGTCATTGTCTGTCGAAATCTTACCTGAGAAAAAAAAAACAGAGTATAGTATTAATTATGAAAGTTGATGAGCATGCTGAATTAATTCTGCATAAACTTTTTTCAAAATCACAATGATAAAATAAAAAGCCCAATTTTTGTGAACTTTTTGGCCTACCTTCTAATTTAACAAAATATATTATAGGAGATATCGAAACTAGTGAAGCTGAAGCTGATCAAGTGTCAGAGTCCTTAGCTATCCCAAAAGGGCCCAAGAAAATAGATTGTCCGGAAGACGAGGAATTTCTTAGTGCTTTAGATAAAATGGTTTCTGAAAATATACAGGAAAGAATGCGAGATCCGGTTAAAGCCGGCAACATGGACATTTCCGTGCCAGTTGTAATGAAGAGCAATGCTAAAAAAAGCTACGAACAGTTACAAGAACCCGACGAGAATGGCAAACAAAAAATTGGGTTTGTCCTCATGATGCGCAAAGGCAATAAACAACAATACAAACAGTTCGAAGCTGACGTTGATTCAGAACTAGTTCAGAATTTGAAAGATCAGGAATTGGCTCAAAAGGAAGAGAAAGAAAGAGTTAAAAGGCTTACGCTGAACATAACAGAGAGATTTGAGGAGGAGGATTATCAGGAGTCCATTTCTCAACAGAACAGACCTGTCACTCAAAATTTGAATCGCGAGAGGAAAAAGTACCAGCACCCGAAAGGGGCGCCGGACGCCGACTTGATTTTCGGTCCCAAAAAAGTCCGTTAATTATGACAAAGGTGATTGATCTGGTCGAAGTTAATTAAGAGGCAATTGATTTATTCAAATATTGGTTCGCTTATGAGTTTGGAAATTTTATTACCTGACAGTTATAGGCTGTTATCTTAGAAAGTGAACTACACGAAAATCCGTATCTGAATTGTTGGAATCTGAATGTTAATTCAGAAAAAAATGAGATATATAAACGATTGTTATGCAGTATTTTTTGGTTTTTCAGTCATTCCGTCACTCCCTCACCCCAACAATAAGTCAAAGCATGTTTATAATATAATATATATAATATATATTATGATTAATTTATAATATATTATATGCGTAATTACGTCAGCATGTGCAGTAACAAAAAACTGTCATATTTTTTGTAACTGTCAATAAAATCATTTTGACGCGTTTCATACAACGCATGTCGGCAAATTACACAAATCCTCTATACGCGTAAAAAAATGGGGTTAAAATTGGTTCAGAATTTGATTTCATAAATGAAATTATTAATACAATATTATTTGTTTACAGTCAGGCATGCTGAAGTAATTCCATATAAACTTTTTTCTAATAATTCAATAACAAAAGTATGATAACTTTATGGTACACCCTGTACAAGGGTGAAATATAGTTGAAAAATAAAAATATTGGCTGATATTGGTAAAAAGAATTTTCTTTTGGTTAACTATCTCAACAGACGGAAAATCAATTCTTTTTTTTCATTAAGCGTGTATGTGTGCCCCTAAAAGAATTTTCAAATTTTATATTGATTAAAAATAGTTTAATTTGTTTCATTAATCATACATACCACATTTATTTTTGATAGCATAATTTACAAACAACTTACTAAAATACAAATTTACTGCAAACACATTGCAAGATTTTTTGAATCGTTTTCTCTAGATATACTTAACACCGAAAACGACAAAGAGAGCATCATACACTTTTTCTAATTCAAAGTAGAAATGGAAGTTTTTGAATAGATTTCTTTCGTGAACAACATTCAGTAACGGGAAAAAAATTATGACTTAAATGCGACATATCGGTTTTTGTTCTGACGCTCCTCATTTATAAACTTGGTGCATTCTCCGCCGGTGCTGCCACCATCGGAGCAATATCGTAAACAACTGGTATATACAAATACACGAGTTTAAATAACGAGTATACGGAAAATTTATAATATAATTATTCTAAAAGTGTTAGGAAGTATAATTTGTGAAAATTCTAAAAATAAAAAAGTAAATATATTGATATCTTCAGAAGGTCTAACTTGTATTATAAGTTATTATTCCAGCTAAAAAAACTTTTTAGATTAGTAACTACGGTTCCGAGCATAGTTTTACCGACCGGTTTTGCTAGTGGGGTCATAATTGGGGCTATTTCGTCTATAACGAAATTTTTTAAAGGTACTTAATTATAATTTTAGAAGATGTTCATAAAATACTTAATCACTAGCTAATTAAAAAAAGTATACTATAATAGTGCAAATTAAATTTTATTCTCTCATAGTATACCTATGCCTATTTAATTTTTTGATTATGTAATGAGCACTTTGTTTACTCTATTGTTTCGTCGAACTGCTTGAATCTATTTGCTTGATCAAATGGGTGTGAGAAACTGTGAAGCTATAAAATTTTATTTTGGGAGAGTGGAATATCCGGCTGGAAAGTTATTGAGTTATTGAATGTTATTGCGCCCAACAACGCCCTAATTACGCTCTATTTTGCGCGTTAACATCTTTTCGGCAATTTTATTAACATTTGAAATTGTTACAACACAACACGACCCCTAGTTCGAATTCTTTTTCACTTATTTTTTAATGCCCGAAACAACGTTACATCACACAAACCTCGTACAGATGAGTGTTTTATAGGCTTGGTGCATTTCAGTTGATTTCAAGAAATTCCGACCGCAGCGCACTCTACGTCAGAAATTATCAATATATAGTTCACGCCGCCGCGCCGCGCCGCGCGCCGTCATGTCCATCGCATTAAAATAATATTGAAATCGGGGTTTTGTCATAACATTTAAGTATTTTAATTTTTTGCTAGTGCAGTTATTGAGACTATAAAACACTCAGGTACGAGGCTTGTGTGATGTAATGCAAAAAACTAAAATACTTAAATATTATAACAAAACCACGATTTCAATATTATTTTAGTGCGATCAATCATGAGGGCGCGGCGTGAAATAGGTACTGATAATTTCTGATTTTTTCCGTTGAAGCGCTGCGGTCGGAATTTGTAGAAATCAACTGAAATGCACCAAGCCCATACGAAAAATTTATTATATAATTATTCTAAAAGTGTTGGGAAGTGTAATTTGTGAAAATTCTAAAAATAAAAAAGTAAATATTTTGATAGTCTAATAATTGATATTTTGAGGTCTAACTTGTATTAAAAAGATGTTCATAAAACATTTAATCACTAGTTGATTAAAAAAAGTATACCGCATTAATATTGCCATTTATATTTTATCCTCTCATAGTATATGCCTATTTAATTTTTTTGATTATGTAATGAGCACTTAGTTTACTCACTTGTTTCGTCGAACTTCTTGAATCCATTTCTGTTTTTGATCAAATGGGTGTGAAGAAGTGTGAAGCTATAAAATGTTGTTTCGAGAGATTTGAATATCAGGGAAAGTGGAGTTATTGAGTGTTATTGCACTCAAGAACGCCCTAATTACGCTCTCCTTTACGCGTTAACATTTTTTCGGAAATTTTTAAACGTTTAAAACAACACAACACGACGCCTAGTTTGAGGTGTTTTTCACTTATTTTTTACTACCCGAAACAGCGTTACATCACACAAACCTCGTACCTGAGGGTTTTACAGTTTCAATAACTGCACTAGTATAAAATCAAATACTTAATTTTAATATTATTTTAATGCGATCGACATAAACGGTAACGGGACTGCGTGAAATACTTTATAGCCTGCACTTCTAATTTCTACCATTAGAGCGTTGCTGTCGGAATTTTTAAAATAAACTGAAATGCACCAAGCCTATAAGGTTCAAAAATATAACAAAATGCTGCTATTTGGGTGATGTGATATAAAATGAATTACTGATTTTCTCGGTGAACATAGTTTAATTTCTGTGGTGGTGTTTCAAATCATTAGTCTTTTTTAACAAATTTTGCATGGTTCGACCCTGAAACAGAAGTTATAGGATAGATAGATGTCTTGAAAAAATACGACAATATAGTTACAAATAGAATACTAATTTATTTTCTTGGGCTTATTAAATTTTATATTACTAAAAAAACTAATGATTAATTCAGCCTTTTACATAATTTACTGGTATCTAACAACATTTTACAATGATAATTACAAAAACTGTATATCTAAAAAATGTCTGTATCATTCTAATAATATATTAATTTAGTAAAAAAGTTAACTACAAAAATTAAATAAGGGATAAATTTTTGGGATCATTATGTAATTCAAGAAAGCAAAATATATAATTACAGTATCTTGGATTACATTAATTTTATATACAGCCTATTAAAAAAAGGTGGATGTTATGAATTATTGTTCATGTTAAAAAATGTATGTTGGCTATAAAAGAATCGGACAAAGAATATAAGTTAACATTTTTGTTGTGACCTGTACTGTGTGTATTATGGTCTACCTACATCACTTTACAAAAATTAATTTGCATTATATTATATTGTTTCATTCTAACATACGTGTTTTATTTTAACATTAAAGCTTACAAAAGAATTAAATATAAATAGCATAAAAATTATTAAGAACTAATCAGCATCTTGAAATTCATCCTCTTCATTTCCATTCTGTATATAATTAATATCTACAGTATTTCCTTCCAATCTTCTTGATAACTCATTTATATCTATAAGGAAAATGCAATCATTAATACACATTAAAATAGGTAATAAAATTAGTCCAATTTATACATTGAAGACATTACAGATTCTACTAAATTCTAAGTTAAGAAGTAATACCTGCGTCTCCATCAGCTCTATCATGAATTACATAATGTCCTTCTTCCATTTCATCTTCAGCATCAGCATATAAATCATCTTCTTCATCCTCTTCATCCATATCATCTGGATCTGGATTTAATTCCTAATAGGATTTTTACTATCATAACTATTTGAATATTATTACTATAATTATATACCTGACATATTTTAATAGCTTCATAGATTGTTAGAACTGAAGGGGAGTTTTCTTCATCAGGGACCAATAGTAATTCACTAATTTCTGGTTCTGATTCTACATCTTCATCATTATCATCGTTTAAATGTTGTGGTTCATCTCCTTATAAAACACAATATTTGTTAACAAATTAAATATTACTTTTGGATTCGCCAACTATAGGTATTTACCTGGCATGTAGATTCTACCATCCACCATAATATAAATACATTCTCTAGAATAAACATTCTCGTCTTTGGATATGGCATGAAGAGATATATTTCGATAATCAATGCAGAAACCAATATTATCCTTTTCTTGCCAACATAAATTGCTGAAAAGTAACAAACATTTTTTTATATTTTAAAACCTTTACTACCTTCAAAATAGCTCCTACTTTTCGCTGATGAAGAGCGTTCCTAACCCCAAATCTTTTTTATCTAAAATTGCCCTAACGTTTCTTTGTTCGTGCCTTATATTTGATTCCGGATACCGAAAACAATTTAGAATAACCATTTTTTCTGACACAAATAATTAATTAAAGACAAAACAAACCGGATACAATTGTAAACTTGAAAATAATCTTTTGTTGACTCTTTGTTGACTGTTGTCTTTTCCACAGATTATATTTTTGTATATGTCACATGTCACATAATAGGTGCTCCCACAGAAAATATATTTTAACTGATTATTAGTGATATAGAGGTTAAAAAGTACGAAAGAACTATTTGATAAAAAAAATGACACTACCACTACACACTGACTACACACATTAAATACCTAGACCATAGACCTAGACTCACAGCTGGGGTGCAACTTTGTTCAAGTTAGCAACCGATCGTTTAGAAGCGATGTCAAAACCAGATCGATACTATGTTCATTGCAAAACTATTGTCGCTCAAATGCTGCGAAATATGGTATCACTATCACACTCTTGCACACGTGTCTAGACTGTCGCCTCGCAACAAAGCGAGAAATCAGAATATCGCTACGAATCGATGTTGCTACTGAACATAGTGTATCAAGCTACAAATTACTTTGCTATCGCTTTGAAACATGAACAAAGTTGCACCCCTGGTTCGAATCCTGGCAAGCATCGAATTTCGCAGCATTTGAGCGACACTAGTTTTGCAATGAACATAGTATCGATCTGGTTTCTACATCGCTTCTATCTAAACGATCGGTTGCTAACTTGAACAAAGTTGCACCACTTGCACCCACAAAACACATACACAAGGAGAAGTGCGAGCGCCTTGCTAAATATTGGAAAGTGAAATTGACGTTTAAATTTGACACTGTTGACAAGTCTACTGCTACTAGCGCCCACAATATCGCTTGTAGGAACTACGGACTAGATTGTATCGCATGGCGGGAAGTTTAAAAAAATAAAAAATTTTAATTCATTTATTTTTAATTATGACATACATAAAAACACAAAAAATACACCATTTTTTAAAAATATGTTTAATATCATTATCAAATATACAACAGAAATTAATTTCAACAAAATAAATTAATAAAATTAAAAGAATAATGTTACAAGTAGATCAAGAGACAAAATTAATTATAACAAAACTGAAAATGAGGCGTCATAGATGGCTTAGAAATGAAGCCATCTATGAATTATATAGGAAATGTCATCGATCATCATTTTTAAGCCAGCTGGACGATTATTTCAAACATACAAGCTGAGTTCGTTCATAGTGTTTTAGAAATCTAGATAAACAAAGAATAATAAATTAAAGTATTCCAGGGGAAAAGAGAAGAACCTGTATCGTCTCTGATATCTGTCAGGGTATTGTTGAGTGTCATCTTTTTGCTCGAAGTTTTCAGGTCGATTAAAAAGATGACATTTACAATACTTTGCCGTAACTTTCACAAATATCAGAGAGAGAGTACAGGTATTGCCTCTCTTTCCTCTGGGATGCTTTATATCTGTTGTTCTTTGTTTATCTATATTTCTCAGAGCATAATGCCGAACACGATTACAGTATATAATAATTTCAATATCCTAAGTGGAAAGAAAAAAGATCACCCTTCTGTTTTGTACTATGGTCCCTTTCTTCCGATGGCTCATCTCGTTGATATTTAGGCAGGTATCCATAAAATATATATTTTATTATCGGTCCTGGGATGAAAAAATATAAAATTCAATTTGATTTGATGATCCTTTACTGTCACCTAAATCAGGAGAATGACAATGAGCATGTTAAGATGAAAAAAAACTTATTTATCAACACTTACCTACACGTTAGTCCAAGAAGTTTTATCAAAAACCTATATTTGCCTAAATAATTTATGTATTCAATTTACAAAGCAAACTGCAGCGTGTAAACAAAAGAAATAAAATGGCGACAAGTCAACGTCAACGATCCAAGGAGAAAAGTGGTGTTCGAATAACAAATTATGGGTTACAAAAAAATGTTTTTGTCTCCTTTCAACGCACACTTTAGAAAGAAAAAGAGATGAACAGTTATACTGAAAGAATGTCAAGGTTTTATCTGTCACTCTTGTCAATAATTTATCGGTAAGGAAGATTCCTAGAAAATCGCTTGTAGTCAAGTTTTCAACCATTTCCAGTTCTCCCATAAGAAGTGTCATCCACCTGCTTGCACCCCTGGGTACAACTTTGTTCATGTTTCACAGCGATACCAAAGTAATTTTGTAGCTTGAGGCACTATGTTCAGTAGCAACATCGATTCGTAGCGATATTCTGATTTGTCGCACACGTGTGATAGTGATACCATATTTCGCAGCATTTGAGCGACAATGGTTTTGCAATGAACATAGTACCGACCTGGCTTCGACATCGCGTGACATCGCTCCTAAACGATCGGTTGCTAACTTGAACAAAGTTGCACACCAGCAACCTTGTCCTTCAACCGAAGGTAGTATCCTATTACCAGGCCGGATAGTCCTAGTAATTCAGGTCTCAATGAAATAAAATCAGGATTTTTAAAGAAGAAAATATATTACCAGGCCGGATAGCCGTAGTAGTTTAGACCTTTAAATAATTAAAAAAAAAGAAGAAAATATAAACATAACCAACTTCTATCCAAGTCCTCAAAAAAATCTATGATCTATGATTATTTTGAATTTCGATTTTCTGTTCGATTAGAATGCGGATTAAAAATGATAGATTCCAGTGACGGTATAGCAACGGTCTTATCTACGTTAGATGAGGAAACCTTATTTGCATTAGAGAAAACTATAACACAAGGCTTTAAAAGAAGCAGTACCACTGAAGGTTTGAAAACTACTTATTATAACTGCTATGTTATTAGTATTTTGTTCTATTTTAGAGGCTATTTATAATATAATTAAGTATTCTAAAGACATACTCAGTATTTTAAGACGCAAAGCTGTTACCCGAGAAATATTATTTAACTACCTCGATGCTATTAATGTAAAGATTCAGTTGCCAGTAACAAAAAATGAACTTATTGATAAAATTACTGAAATATGGAACATACCTCAAATAAATACATTTAATTCAGAATCTAATGCACTGGCTAGTGTAGATGCTCAACAAAACTATTTAACGGATAGTGTTGTAGAAATGGCACAACAATTTTCAACGTGGTTTTACACAATGTTAAATTCGGGTGAATGTGGCAGTGAGCATTTCTTTCCAGGTAAGATGCTGTATTTTTAGAAAAAAAGTTTAAAATGTCAATGTTTCAGATGCTAAGCTTACAGTAAACATGTATACCAATGAAAATTGTGAAACAAGATCTGTGGAAGGCAACCCGGAAGAAATTTCACAGTACTTAACAGATCTGCATAACCAAAATAACTTTTATTTTAATCTTAATGAAACTGAACAGGGGATTCAAGGTAAAATAGATCCTCATGGACTAGTGATAATAATGGCCTGTGGAACAATACATACCGAAACAGTGTGCTGTGGAGTGTTTGAACAAATGTTTGCTTTAGCAAGAGACCCTTTAAACGACAATAACTGGAAAGTTAAAAGAACTGAAATTAACTTACAATCGCAAAATCAAGTGCTCGGTACTCCTGAAATTTGTTACGGCGAATCATCTAGTTCTGTAATACTAGCGTTCCCACCAGAATAATTATTTCATGTTAATGTATATATTTTATTGGTAAAATACACCTGTAAACTAGACTAGTTTAAAAATAACCATATTTGTATTATTTCATTTATTGTAACATTCCCAATATTAACATAAAAATGATTAAACAATATATACTATAAATAAATAATGACCTATATTCTCATATCAACATATTTTGGTTGCTTTAAAGATTCATTTGAACAATTTTATCACTGAAGACAAGATCACTTGCAAAATTATAATAGCTGCTTGATAGTCTTAAAATTAACAAATTAAATCATGTCTTTTACCTGCCGGTACCGGGTTAAAATATTCTAATCAAATTTTGATTTATTTTTCACTCTTTAAACTATATTTCATTCAACACAAGCTACTTTTGGTAAAATAATGTAGCTGAGCTAAGTCATCCAATATTGTTGATAATGTGTAACATGTAAATTATTTTTGTGTTCACACATTACAATAGATTGGGTAAAGAATAAGTATTTTCTGATATTAGTTTGAAGATGGTGATTAAAATTAGGTAAAAACGTTGATTGAAAGAATTGGGAAGATAGGCAACCTAATGGGTGAATTCGTGACAAGGCTGATTTGATTTCCCCGTACGTCTCAAGTGCTGTACGGTGGAGACACCAATCGTTCTGCGATCAACGCACAAAACACTTATTTTCTCTAATTCGGCCAGCGAAGGCATATCGAAGACGGTGTGGATCCGAAACCGACAGTGTTGCCATATTACAATATATAATATCTGTGATACGTTTGACGAAAATATCTTTGGATGAAAAATCCGCGTTTATGTATTCAAAAATTTATTCAAGTTAAACATAGAATAAACAACAAAAATAAAAATTCTTTTATAGGTACTGAATATGTCGTATGATCAGAAAAAGTTGTTTAGTTTTAGGCTTTTGGAAATGACGATTATTGACATTTAACATAGGTAGTATTTTACATATGAAATAACAGCGATCTTCATTTCCAAGCCAACTCTGACGCCGTTCTTTGTTTAATCATATATTATATTAAAATGTTGAATGATATTCAATGAAATCCGTATTATTAACGTACTGTACTCAGTATCCGTAAATCTACGGATTAATCAGTAGTTCTGGGTTCTGGCAACACTATCCCCGGTAACCACTCACTCTGTCAACTGAAAGCAGAACTATGATACAGTATTCTTTATCCCCTCCGCTGTAAACGACTATCAGCGCGCAGCGGCGCAGAGCTAAACTAAATCTCGGACAGACTGACGGTAACGCCAGCTACATCTCGGACAGGTCTTGTGCCACGAAATCGCCCATAAGGTTGCGCATCTTCTTATTCCTTCATCAACGCTATTTCCTGTTCCTGATATTTCCTATCTAAAATGCCCGTATGAATGAATTTTGTGCTTCTTTAACATTTTAAAACAGCAGAAGATATTTGACGCTAATTAAAATTGCGCATCTTCTTAATTCTTCAAACAACGGTAAAAAGTTGATCTGAACACAACATAACAGAGTTTAGTAGCTCTAGTAATACATATAATTTAATAGAGTCAAAATAAACCAAAATTAGATTCTTAATAGGCAAATATTTTAAACAGGAATGTAAAATATCAGCTAAATAATATCACAATATTTGTATATAAAAGTCTATATGATTTTTGTTAAATAATGTATTCTAGTTTTACGTTTATACATGATACAAATTAAAATTTCCTTAAAGCCAGGAAAACCCTTATTAAAACTATTGTATAACTGTAAAAATAGATTACATGAATATATTTGAAGAGATAAAAATATTTAAAATATAATGCTAGATATAACTATAGAATAAATAATAATTTGTATTTATGTCATAAAAATAATTATCATTTAGAAAGTTTAAATTAACGGTACAATACATAAAATTATATATAAAAATTCAACTAGAATTGACATAGAAATTTATGTCGTTATTTGAAAAGGCATGGCTTTTTTAAATGAACAAAACAGTTATTTACAAACCCTTAACAAAATATTTTACGTAGAGGGATTTTGCCTGCTATTTATTCATTTTATTACAATTTAAATTCCGAGTTATTTAAACATATAAGACATTTTTTCATTTGAACTAAGAACATGCAATAAAGTTCAATATAAGTAATATATTTAGCAATGCATTATTAACTTTGTTAAAACACATTGTAACAGATAAGAAAAACTAAAATTTACAAATCTGGCTTTCTGACAGAATTCATTTTAATTTTAGAGGAAAGTAATCAAATATGGAATAGTATCTCTTAACATGGTAAACCACCATTTTTGGGCAACGAATACGCCAAGGCTAAGAACATAGTGGAGCGACGAGGATAGCGGCGAGCAAGCAGCGCGACATCGCGTCCAAAACAAACCTGTGAAGACAAGTACGTACGAACATAGTAAAGCGATCTGCTCGAGCGGTTAGATCGAGCGGCGAGAACGATTCAAATAATTTTGTTTTCGTCGCTCTGTCGCGCTGTATAAAATGATAGATTCTCAAAAATTAATAGATTTAGTATTTGTAAGAGTGAAGTGGCAACAAATTTTCGTAAAGGTTATAAAACTTGCCAGACTTTCTTGGGTTTTTGAAAACTTCATCTAACCAAATGTTTGCGACACTACTGCCTAGAATTTTAGCCACTGTTAACATTTTAAATTATCAATAAGCAAATGAAAATAGTAAATTTGCACAAGTATCTCGCTATTCCTCGCCGCTCTACTATGTTTTAGCACCTCGAGGCTTGCTCGACGCGGTATCGCGCTGCTTGCTCGCCGCTATGTTCTTACGCAAAAGACAGTGATTTTTAATTCTTTCCCTCAAGGTTTTGGTGTAGGTTTTGTCTTGCGATTCAAACAGGCTTTGTGGCCACGGCGAGAGTGTTTTCTTTCAGCGCTATGAGAAAAGTTTTTTAGGTACTCAGAAAGTCAGTATTTCCTGATACGTGATTGCAAATAGTATTGTGTATTATGATAATGCATTGATTACATGTTTGTTTGATTGTTTTAGGTGTATTTTCTTGTCGGAATGTGTGAAAAAAATCTGATATACGTTTTGATTAGTTTGAAGATGGTTTGAAGTGTTTGTTTTATAATGGTACATATTTCGGTATCTATTCCATATTTAGGTGCCTTTATGTTCAACTTGTTTTTGAGAACATTTTTTACTTTACAGAAAACAGAGTGCAACTATATGATAATAACTAAGAATAAAACTTTTTCATTTACAATACCTTTTTTATATAACACAAAAACTAAATGGTATTTCATATTTGGTTACTTTCCTCCTTATATATATATAGGGTGAGTCTTAAATAGATGCAAATATTTTTACAGGTAGTATATTCGTGAAATTTTTTTTTTGAAAATTTGGAATTTTTTAAATTTTAAGTTAACAATAACATAACAATAATAAATAAATAAATACAATAAAATAATAATAAAAAAACATAATATGTTCATAATATGGCTACATACGTAATTGATTAAATTTACAAGGAAGAAAACCCAGAAAAGATATAGTAGTTCTCAAAATTTAATCAAAAAATAGTTTTTTTCTTTCAAAGTAAAATAACTCGGTTATTTTTGAGTTATTTGAAAAACGATAAAGAAAAAATATGTTTCTTTATATGCGCTTATTTAAGACTCACCCTGTATATATATTTTTAAATGGATATATTATTTTTTTATAAAGAACTATCCTTATTCTATAAGGATGATTATATTTAGTGAGTTAATATCACTATATAACGTATAGACTAAAATTCGTTTACGCATTCGGCATATAAAATATATAATTTCATTGTAATTCCAACTTTTTTTCTTAAATATAAATAACAGACCCTATTCTAACTCATTTTGATTTAGAAGTTGAAGTGAAAACTGTGACAGCCTATTTCTTATTAGTTTATTTTTTTAGTAATTATAGGGGATTTTTTCGTGAAATTATCAAAAGGAAATAGAAAAATGCCTCTAATGTCTAAACTCAAGGAGCTCAATTTCTGTATGGCTAATCTAGCAGAAAAATTTTGCTTTTATTTAGAAAATACCAAGAAAAAAGTGTTCAAAAAAGAGCAGGAGTCAAAAGGAGGACCCTCAAAAAGTTTAAAAATATATGAAGCTATAAAAACCATCAACAAAAATTTACAATATAACTAATAGATATACAGGACATCACAGAAATAATAGTACGTAACAATAACTGAGCATATACCTGCTAGAGTATTAAGCAAAAAATGTTTTCTTTTGATAATTTTAAACATTCTTTAAATTTAAAATGAGAATTTGTTTGGGTATATGTAATATACTCAAAATATATACATAAATATATAATATGACGTCGCATACAATATTTCTGGGACATTCTGTATAGACATAATAAAAACAAAATTAACTGACGGTCCCAGGGGCGTCTACTTGTTGCTTACGGTGGTGATACAGGTGTACTCTTAAACAGCTTTGATTTCTCATAGTTTTGCCGCAAATCTGACAATCTAGATCCGTGGCGTTTGTTTCGTGTTTGTCCCTTACGTGGACCTTTAAATTGTACCGATTTACAAACTTCCGGCAACAGTATGGACAGTTCACTTGGCCTTTATTATCCATCGTGTAAAGAGCGCATTCTGAAAATCGACAACATACAATGAAAAGTAATTTAAAGGAACGCAAGTTCGTTACCTTTGCTTTTCAATAATTCAGGTAAACTTTTCAAACTTGTTTTACGATTTAAATGACATGGGATGGATTTTAATGCGTATCTGATGAAATGTATAAAAATTATGATTAAACAATACTTCATATAAGTTAACAATTTACCTCTATACAAAAATGCTTCGTTTGCCCGTTAGAGAGCATCAAACTTTAAAAACATAAACACATTTTTAAAGATATTTTAAGAACCATTAGCCCGTTTTGAATGAGATTTAGGGCGGCTATGTTTTGCTAAGTGCTTTAACATTTGAATTTCACAAAAATCAAGAAAAAGTACGGGAAGGGTAAAAACTACCCCCACCCCTACATAAATTTTACTGTAAATATTTTCCAACTCAACCGACGACCGAT